TTTGAAAGAGAATAGATTCCGGTCCGACGGCCCCTCCTACCATGGAGCCCAACAAGGAACACAGAATCCTCGCTAAGGCTAGCCGAGCTATACGCAAAACTGAAGCCCCACATTTGGCTTTCCCAAAGTAGGTACTCCCGAGAGCTTATCCCCAAGCCACTGACACAAGGACTAGTGACCAGCCGGTTGACACCTGTGAGGAATGACAAGATGCCTCCCATTTAGCTGAAGCAGAGGCCAAAGCAGTGTGTTGGGGACAGCACCTCACCCCTCAACTACCAGGACCCTTCTTTCCAGCGACACGAGTTTCCACGCACGGCAAACACGTGGGCAGTTTGCTTGCCACTCAAAAACAAGAGACAAGGGCTGTTCCAGTTTCTTATGATGAGCCCCAACCTCCGAAGAGGGAAACCACAAGGAAGTATGCAAAGAAAACGTATCAGCTCAGAGGAGAGGAGACGCAAAAGAGGATAGATCACTGGGGCTCCAGGATCGTGACACCCGTCTCGCCAAGAAGATGATCCCCTGAAAGGCTAGGGTACCTCGGGATTGCCACACCCGTACTCACAAGAGTGAGCCCCTGAGGGGCCTATATTGTTATGAATTGTTACAAATATATATACTGAATTTGCTTTGAAAATTTAAAAAGTCAAGCACATAAAGTAAAACAAAAGAACTGCATATCATATTTAGTGAATATAAAGTTCATTAAATATGATAATTATACAAACAATAATGAAATTAAAGTGCATCAGTTAAATGAATAGAATGTGAATGGCATGCATATTTTGCATATGCACATGCACTTGTAACAGCATGCAGAAAACAACAATTTTCACCTACAGAAAATGATGGCAAAAATTTTTAAAAAAGATTATATATTATTCAACTATAAATCATAGACACAATTCAGATTTAATTATAATGTGATTTTCCTTAATTTCTTAATTTAGTTTTAGTTATCTTTATTATTTTACATTAAATTACATTTTCAGAATTTTTTAGTATACCAATACAAAAGTTTGATTACCTGAAAATCCCAATAATTTCCCATTCACACCGCCCTTCATATAAACAGAATCAGATGGCAATTTTCCACGTAATCCAAATTGAACTTTAACAGCAATATTTACTAATGTAAACTTATTCAGATCATCCTCAGTTGCTCCATCAACGACATCAGACAACACAGCACTTATACTTTTATCTACAATATGTGAATTGGAAGAGTTCCAAGCAGAATCTGTAATGCTTTTAAAACCTCCTTTCTTTTGCATGCCTCCATCATTTGTAGGTCTTGTATCATTTTGAAGAGTACACAATTTTAAATAAGATATCTTCTTGAAAAATTTATTCCAATCCTGTAAATAATTAAACGCAACATATCACATACAGTGAATTACTTATCACACAACAAAAAAGATAGTATATAAGCTTTAATATTTGTCATTATTTTGTATCATAAAACATATAAATAAAAATTGGTAGTGTACCTTTAAATTTATATATTACACTATATAATTCCATCCATGCAAATAATCTAAATTACTGTGTTGTTACATAAGCAAATTGAAATCAAGAAATCAGTTTTATTCATATAAAAATATATAAAAAAAAAATTCATTTTACAAGGGGGATTCAAAAATTAAGTTACAAAGACTGCCAGCATTTGCCAGGCTTGAACAAGAAGGCACATGTGCAAAACAAGCATTCGCATGTACTTGTTTCTACACAGCTTATTCAGTTATAGTTACAGTAAATAGTATTTTACAGCATGAATGTATAATGAGCTTAAGAGCAAATGACCCTATGGAAAATTTCTATTTGACATAATCAAAACTTGCACAAAGATTAATATTTAACTTTCACCAAACTATTTACTTTCCTCACATGATCCATGCATGCATGTCACAGAAAACAGGATTACAAATGTTTTAGAACTAGCACAGTAATGGACATTATGCATAATGTTTTATGTTAAGAAACAAGTGATTTATCATCTGCAACTAATTTTATATTATCTTCAAATCATTAAAAAAGTCCTGATGTTGTTTTGAATTAGAAATGAAAAAATCTGATGTGTACACACACCACGACTTCTTTGTACAGAATGTTAAATTATGTGCATTTTTTACTGTATTTCATTTAAACTTATTTCCTTGAATTTCATTAGGGATCTATTTCTCATTTAATTAATTCAGTTTTCACTTCACAACAAGGCAAAAATACATAAAAACTCAGATATCTTTACTAAAAATTGAAAAATATAAAACACCAAATTCAGTTAGAGCAATTGAAATTTTTTTAACAATTAAAATAAGAGTTTCTATGCAAAAACAAGCAATTTGGCCAGTGGGCAGCAGGCAGATTTTTCGGTGCACAAAACTGAAAGTTTATTTTTGGTCTCAATCGGCCAAAAAACGTTGAAGGTGCAGAAAATGATTTAATTCACTATTCTGCAAAGTTTTAAATGTAAACAAATATGGGTGCTATGGTGAAAAAAATTAGCTGCATGTAAACAACTCTTAAATTGTTGATAATTCTACAACTATTGCATGAAGATTAACTAAAGGCATAAAAACCTTAACCGGAAGATAAGAATAACATAATTCATTCATTTTTTGAAGCAAAAAATTCACAATTTACCAACATATAAGAATAAAAAATCTGATGTGTACATCACACGACTTCCTTGTACAGAATATTAAATTATATGTATTTTTCCTGCATTTCATTCAAACTTATAAATTCTACTTCTCGATGGCTAACTCCCACAAAAATAAAATAACATTCACTCTATTATTTACCAAGGACTCGTACGGTTTCAACAACACTCTCAGTCTTAAACTCAGAATGCCAAAATTAATCGTCTGAAGAACTATCTAATCGTTGCCACCTGTTCTATTCCATACTATAAAATCTTAAATTATGTATAAAAAATTAAACAAATACAAGACAGTTTTTCACAGACGATTCACGCTGCTTCTAATGCACATGCGCTACTCGTAAACATTCTCCTCTGCCCGAGTCAGACTGGCAACAATATTTGGTTCTAATATGAAACACTTATTTCCTTGAATTTCATTAGAGATGTATTTCTCATTCAATTAATTCAGTCCTCACTTCCCGGCAAGGCAAAATAATAAAAACACAAAAGATCCTCATTAAAAATTTAAAGCTATAGAAAAACATAAACACCAAATAAGTTTTAACAATTAAAAAAATCATATAATTAAAATTACAGTTTCTGCACAAAAACAAGCAGAAGGCAAAAAGGCAGATTTTTCGGTGCACAAAACTAAAAGTTTCCTTTTGATCTCAGCAAAAAGACAATGAAGGCGTAGAAACTGACCTCATTTGTTGTGGACGCCGTGCTGAGTCAATATATGGAATTATTTATAAACTTAAATGATAATTCCAGAATGTATTAAGCATGGTTTAATTCGCAATTATAAAAGAAGACATTATCTTTGTTGTTGTGAGGCTTAGTTTCTCTAGATTAGCAACAAATCCACTACTCTACTAAGTTTCAAATGTAAACAAATACGGCTGCTATGATAAAAACATTAGGCTTAGCCCCCACTTAAACAACTTCTAAATTGTTCATAATTCTACAATTGTAACATGCAGGTTAACTAAAGGCATAAAAACCTTAACTGGAAGATAAGAATAATGTAATTCAATCATTTTTAAAGCAAAAAATGCACAATTTACCAAGATATAAGAACAAAAAAAACTGAGCTCACGAAACTGAGTAACAGAGTGGATTACATACATGTGTGTGTGTGTATATATATATATATAGATGTGTGTGTTTTTTGTGTGTGATATTTTAGCAGTCAGGCACATGAGTTCCGGACATTGTTGTGTGGCTGAGTGTTAAGGCAGCATCCAATGACGACAAAGGAGGATTTCACTTTTTACTATTCCATATCTTTATTTCAATTTTCACTTCAGATCATTTTTACTTTAGATAAATTCTCCAAATTACATATTCAATAGTGATTTTTAAACTAAGTAACATTAAATTTAGACTTTCTGCGTCATAACTATTCAAACAAAGGAAAGATGGGTTAAGCAGCAGGAGGAGAGAAGCAATCTGATACAAAATGGTGCGATTTCATTATTTATAGAAGCGGTTACATAATAGGCTGGAATGTTCTCGAAAGTACTGGTCTAGGGAGAAGATCCTGAATTGTAGAAAGTTAATTAAAGGTTGCTTGTTTGCATAGAGCAAAGCCATCTTATTTTTTATATTTTACATATACATATATATATGTGTAATATATATGTAAAAATATATTTATATACTTTTGGTGCGGACGATTACAATCAAAAAGGGAGGTGCACATCTACATGTTATAGCAGTCCCACATACAAAATTTCAACGTTCGGAGCCTATTTGTTTTTCAGTTATGCGAGATACATACATACATACAGTCGCCACAAAAAAAATCTCTTCTGAATCCATTTTAAATCAGTTTTATAATTCCCATTTGGGGAAAAAAAAGAGGCCTTTATTCTGTCATCTGTACACATATCATGCAAAAACATCGTTAAATTGTATTCGATAGTAGTCAAAATCATATTTTCATTGAAATATGGTACCCTGAATTTTTTGTGATTACAATACTTCTTTTATTTAGTACAAGAAAATAAAAAGTAGATCTCCTGACAAGGAAACAGTTTTGATATTTTGACAAGAAGTAAATAATCATTTTTTATCAGTTAAAATATAAGGAACAGTGCAATTTTTATGGGCATTATATCTGAAATGCAATCAGATTCATCATACAATTACTGCAGTGAATGAGAGAAATGCAATGTTGCATCTAGCAATAATCAAATGATGTCATCAGTTCAAACATCAGATTTGACATTAGAAAACAAACAGATTTGACTAATACTGACAGGTAAGAAAGGCCATCAATAATTATCAGAGAAGAATTATGAAAGCTAAAGAAATTGTTCACGGCAGTACCTGAGTGACTGGCTCAGAGATTGCCAAGAAATTAGGTATCTCAATATGCAATCTTCATTCAGTCATCCATTTTGATTATTGCAAATTATGTTCCAGATGTGTTCCTTATTCATGCACACCTGAAGCAAAGTTTTGGTTACCTAGACTTTTTCCAAGATTAATTTACAAAAGGTGATCTACGGAAGGTGTTTGATTTCTTAAGCTGCATCATTATGGGCAATAAGACAGAGGCACATTATTTAACACCACAAGCGAAGGCATTACCTATCGAAAGGAGATGCACATCATCACTTATGTGAAACATTTTCAAAGTTACACTATAAGCAGGAAAGTTCACAGCCACTGTCTTTTTTAATTGTAAAAGAGATTTAATGTTCACTCTTTATTACCAGAAGACTGAGAAAAGCAGTGAAAAAAATGAAGAGAGAAAAGCAGTGAAAAAATGCACACAAGAAGCATTACACAAACTTTACTTCAAAAAGCAGAAAGTTCATCTATGCAAAGATGCCATTATTCACAACAATGCAACTGCACACAAGACATGCATTACACAAACTTTACTTCAAAAAGTCTGACAGAATCTAGCATCCAGTTCAAATCTTATGTGCTGCAACTTCTATGGGCTCAGAAAACTGATAAAACATCTGATAGAGCCGAAATTTGCCGTTATTCACAGCAATGCAACTGCACACAAGACATGCATTACACAAACTTTACTTAAAAAAGTCTGACAGAATCTAGCATCCAGTTCGAATCTTGTGCGTTGCAACTTCTATGGGCTTAGAAAACTGATAAAACATCTGAGAGAGCAGAAATTTGCCAAGGATGATAGCTTCAAAAAAAAAAAGTTCTATACTGGCTCTATGACTATGAAGATTTTCATTACTGGGGAATCGAAAATTTCACAGAAAATTTAGAAAACAAGTGCCAACAAAAACTGAGTGGCTATGCTGAAAAACCACTGTGGTGTATTTCCATCATACTGTAGTGACAATGTTTGCATTTTTAATACTCTTCATCAATTTCACTTAACAAGGTGCTTCTCAGTGAAGGTCATTACAATATTGCACTATTATGGTTGTGCATATTTTCCGCACATATTTAATATATGCAGAGCTGCCAACCTTGAAATCATAAAAACAGGTAGTTTTCATGCTCTGCAACACCACTATTTCAAAGGAACCCAAAACTGATTTTGATTCACTTCATAAAGCATTATTCAGATTATTGAATTATTTGTAATTTAATTCTGATATAAATTGTATTAGCATTTAATTGAATATTCTAAATTCTTTGTTCTTTTTTAATTTTTAATTTAATCCTGAGTAGTGAAGGAACCCTTTTTTTAGCAAAGTACTTTTAAATATGATGAAAATAAAA